TATATTAATAATATATATTTTAATATAATAAACTCTCTCTATAGTAGAGCTTAATAAATAGTTAAATAATATAATTATTTTATTAATTTATATCTTAATAGTAGTAAATATAAAAAAATATATATATAGTATAAATATTATCTAGAAATATATCTAACTTAATTAATAATTATATCTTATTTTATTATCTTTACTTACTCGCCATTAATTTATATAATTAATTAAGCTCTTTAATAATAAGAGACTTATTATTTATTACTTAATACTTTCGCTTACTATTTATCTATTTATAGATTTAAATTAACTTATTAATATTAATAAATTTATTATCTAATAGCTATTAATTATACTCTTTATTTTAATTAATTTATTTAATTTTATATTAAACGCCTTTCTTATACTTAATCTTATTAATAATTTCTTTAATTTTTTAAAGCTTATTATTATTAATAAGCTTAAGAGTTTATATAAAGATATTTATTATATTATTATAATCGCGATTATAATAAAATTTAAATAATAATATATAAAAGATATTATAAATTTTATATATTAAGAGTAAAAGTAGATAATATATCTACGCTTCTATCTTATCTATAATTTAAAATAATTCTATAAATTTATAAAATAACTTCTTATTTAAGCGTTTTTACTTTAAGTTTTTAATCGCTAATATTATTAAATCGTCTATCTTATAGCTTTAAGATTAATATATTTTATTATAATACTTAAACTAAATCGTAATAACGCTATAAAAATACTCTATTATCTTATTTCTTAATATTTATAATTTCTTTACTTTATTATTTATAGCGAATATCTCTCTCTTAACGAAGTTATTCTTAATCTTTTAATAGATTTTAGAATAATATTTATATATTAGAAAGAATAATATCGTTTTAATAGAGAAATATTAACTATTTATATAAGCGAACTCTACTATTAATAATTATTTTATTTAAATATTTTACTTATTATTAGCGAATATATATAAGAAATATTTTAGTATCTAATTTTATCGCTTAGTTTACTTATCGATTTATAAGTAAAAGGCGATATTTAAGCGTCGCTTAATTTTAAAATAAAAGTAAATAACGAATTAGAAGCTATTAATAAATATAGAATCTCTATTATTAATAATATCGTTTAATATACTATAGCGATATATTATTTCGAAATAAAATACTTTTATTAACTAAATAGTATCGATAGTAATAGATATAAAAATATATCTTATTATTTTTATAAATTAATTTATTATAACTAGAATAGTATTATAAATAATATTTTTATATTTACTCGCTAATAAGTCGATAATAAAGTTTATAGAAATTTTCTTTTATAGCTTAATAACGATAAAAAGCGAATTTAACTCGCTATAAAAATAATATTATAAAATCTTAATTTACTAGTAAATATTATATATCTTAATATAATTAATAATTTACTTTAAGCTCTTATTCTAATAATATTTATAAATAAATAATTTATATATCTTTATAGCGCTAAAGTATTTAAATAATAAATTATTATAATATTTATTAATAAGCTCTTTTCTTAAGATTTTATCTTTAAAAATATAAAGGCGATTATTATATCTTAATAGTTTTTTAAAATTTAAAATTTATATTTAATTACGTACGCGACGCTTAATTATTAATTTATTAATATTAATTCGAAAAGAGCTTATCTAATTATTATAGACTTATAAATCTTAAATTAATATTTTTATTAATCTTTAAAATATATTATAAATAATCTCTTATATAATCTTAAACTCTCTTTTAAAAATAATTATTTAAATATTAATAATACGAAATATAAGCGCTATAGTTAGAGCCGCTATAAGCTTTTTATCTCTTTATAACTACTCGTTACTAGTTTAAAATATAAATTTATTTTATAATATTAATAGTAATTTAATATTTAATAGCGATATTTTTTTATAATTAAAACGTTATAATAGCGAGTTAATAAGATTTAGTTTATCTATTTAATAAAAAATCTTAAAGTTATAAATAGCTAACTTTAGCGCTTAATAGACTTATTTAAAATTTAATTTCTTTTATTTTATAAAGCTTTTAAGATTATTATAATTCGTTAAAATCTTAATATAAAACGTATTATCTTTTAAATAGTAATATTATTATTTTATAAACGCTACGATAGCGAGTAGCTCTTAATTATAGATCTTATAATTTTACTTCGTAGGAATTATTTTTCTAAATTAGAATATTATTAATTATTAATAGTTATTTTTATTTAATTATAAAAGTATAGTCTTTATATCGAAGTTAAAAGCGTCGATCTTAAGATATAGCTTTAAATTTAGATTATAATAATATAGAAATAACGTAATTATAAAAGTATTTTAAAGCTATTAAAACGCTAGTTTAACGCTATTTATTTACTCTAATAATTTAAATTTCTTATTATTTTTATTTTCTTTAAGTAAATTAATAAATAACGCTATTATATTAAAATAGTTATAAATAAATTATTAATAGAAATTAATAAAGTCTAAAAAGACTTATATATTTTAATATTTTTTTAATTTTAACTATTTCTTAATAATAGCGATATATTTTTAATCTATTATAATATCTTTAATAAATATAATAAACTCTAGAAACTTAACTTATTTAATATAGAATTAATATTTCTTTAAATTAGCGTATAATTAAAACTAGCGTAAATATTTAAATACTTATTTAATATATTATTAATACTTTATTAAATTAGTATTATAAATTAAAATATTATTTAAATATATTATATATATTATATTTATTAGATCTATAAAAGCTTTATTAATATATATTTAAAAAATTATTAATATATTAGCGAGTTTAAAAGATATAATTAAATATTCGAAGTAGTTATAGCGATTACGAAATACTATTTTCTACTTATTATCTTCTTTAATCTAAATTTAATAATAGATATTCTTAAGATTTAATTTTATAAAGATTTTAAAGTTATATAAGCGATTTAGAGTCTTAATAATTAGAAGTAATAAATATCGATTTTTAATAATTATCGCGTTTAGATCTCGATAATTAATATAAAAATAAAGCCTTTTATTCTTTTTAAGAATAAAAAGAATTAATACTTCGATTAAGAAAGTTAAATAGCGAATTTAATTTTTCTAAAGAAAATTCTTTAAATAGCGCTATAGCTCTATTAATTTTATTTAAGATAAAATATATAAAAAGCTATATAGCGGCTTTTTATCGCTTTTAATCTTAATAATATAATCTCTCTATTTAAGTATAAATAAAATCTCTACTTTTTTATTAGAAAAAATATTATTAAACTCTAATAACTTTTAAGAAAGCTTTAAACTACGCTTATTTTTTAATTTACTTTATATTATTATAGCGTATATAATCGCGAATATATTTAGCTTCTCTTCGATAATTCGAATAAATTTAATTAATTTTTTAATTTATAATTTATTAGCGTTAACTTTAAATTATTATTACTTTATTATTAAATTTAATAATATTTATAATTAATTTAATTTTAATATATTTAATATAATATTAAGATCTTTTTAATTAATAATATAGAAGAATATATTATATTTTTTATTTTAATTTTAATTATCTACTAATTAATAATTTAGCTAATACGCGTTATAATAATATATACTTTAATTACTTAGCGCTTTTAATTATAATAAAATAGCGTTATAAGATTTTAAATTCTATTAAATTACGAATTTTTATAAAATTAAATTAATATATATTTTAATATCGAGTAGAGTAACGAATTACCTCTATTTACTTTAAAGCTTTATTTACTTCTTTATAAAAATAAAAGAAATTATCTTTATTAATTATTATTCTTATCTTACTTCTAAGATAATTATAAGACTAAATCTTTTTTTATTAATATTACGTCGATATATATTATAAATAATTTATTAAGATCTAGATATTTAGATATTTAATAATTCTATTTTTTATAATAAAAATAATTATTCTTTTTATAATTAAGATTAAAGGATTTAACTTTATACTTTATATTATTATCTTAAATATATACTATATAAACGTTATTATTTAAAATTAATTTAGACTTTAAAATTCGATTCTTTAAAGACTTATTTTTAGCGGATCCCCTCGAAGATTTTAAATAGAAATCGTTATTAAAGTATATATATTTTAAAATCTTTTTCTATATAATAGTCTAAATAAGAATTTCTTTTTATTATTTCGATATATTATTAATATTTAAAATTTTATTTTTAAGTTTTAATTTAAGTTTAGTTAAGAAGAAATTAGCTTAATACTTTTTAAAAAATAAAGTTATATAAATCTCTAGCTTCTTTAAATAGATCTTAAAAATAAATATCTTCTAATTAAAGCGTTATTTAATTTTCTTCTATTTTTTATATATAAGAAGATAATAATTTACTAAATTCGTTATTAAATTAAATAAAAACAAGTAAAGGCCCATGAATTAAATTCATGGAGTTGGATTTTTCTAAGTCAAATCGAATTTTAGCCCTAGCCCTAAGTCAAATCGAACTCTGATCGCTTGCTGTGCGTTTTTGACCTACTTCCACCACTACAAAATTGATTTAATCTATGTAGTATACAGGCATATATGTGCGGAGAGAGGCGCGCTAAGGCCTAATTAGGAAGGTGTAATAATTGCTTACAAAAAATAGAGAAAGGCCATGTCCTTATGGCAAGAAGTATCGAAATATCGGAAAGAAATGGAGACAACGTGCCAATTAGTGGTGTGAATCCCACAATATCTCCTGCCGCAGTGAAATTTTTCGAATAATGAAATAGCTGTAGACATCGGACGGTTTCAATTCGTCCAAATATGCATCGTTCCGGAGTGATGATTTGATGTGGAACCGTGGAGAGCATATGACTGGGATCTTGGAGAGCTGAGCCGTGTTCTTGGTGCTGGGGGCCTTGTTGCCGCTTGGTTTCTCCGCAGTGTTCTCCGCATTTGCCTGTTGTAGTTCCTCCTCTTACTCCTTAATGTAGTGGGGATGACAGGCTAAGTTGCAGTGGTGTTCTCCGCTTACTGAGTGATGATTTGATGTGGAACCGTGGAGAGCATATGACGTGGGATCTTGGAGAGCTGAGCCGTGTTCTTGGTGCTGGGGGCCTTGTTGCCGCTTGGTTTCTCCGCAGTGTTCTCCGCATTCGCCTGCTGTATTGACTTCTCTTGCACTGGCTGAGTGGATTGGTGTGAGACCGTGGAGAGTAGGCCTGTTGTGTCACTGCTGCTGATGACTGTCTCCGCAATGTTCTCCGCAGTGTTCTCCGCATTCGCCTGTTGTAGATCCTCCTCTTGTTCAACTGAGTGCGAGGGTACCGAGGGTAAATGTGTTCATATTGGTGGAATTGGTAGAATTGGTAGAATTGGTAGAATTGGTAGAATTGGTAGAATTGGTAGAATGGTGGAAGAAGAATGGTTACACAAATAGGTGGAAGGATTATTATCCGATCCCGGACGCGTTTGGTGTGACTACAATATTTGAATGTCAGTTTAACCCACCTATCGCTGGCTTGGGAGGAGTATGTAGGGGAGGACGTATCCGTTCGGGCTCTTTTTGAGGGCCTTTCAACGCGTTTATGAGCAGTAGTAGGTAGCTGTTGGGCTCGCTTGCGGCCTCGATTGCCAGCAGTAGCGGATTCGCCGAGGGGTGGCCTGGGGGCGTCAGTAGGGGCTCTAAGAGGCGGGCAAAAGGGGTGTATGTGCCTGAACCGGACGCGTTTGGTGTGACTACAATATTTGAATGTCAGTTTAACCCACCTACCGCTGGCTTGGGATATTAGGGGAGGACGTATCCGTTCGGGCTCTTTTTGAGGGCCTTTCAACGCGTTTATGAGCAGTAGTAGGTAGCTGTTGGGCTCGCTTGCGGCCTCGATTGCCAGCAGTAGCGGATTCGCCGAGGGGGTGGCCTGGGGGCGTCAGTAAGGGCCTCTAAGAGGCGGGCGAAGTGTACCGAGTAACCTTTCCGCGAGGGGTACCGAGGACGATTGTGTTCATATTGGTGGAATTGATAGAATTGGTAGAATGGTGGAAGAATAATGGTTACACAAACAGGTGGAAGGATTATTATCCGATCCCGGACGCGTCTGGTGTGACTACCATGACTACCATATTTGAATATCCATTTAATCCACCAATAGTAGGCCAAACTTCATAATTTTTACAGCGTTAGAAAGCGCAAAGCGAGCTCTACAATTTGAGGAATTATGAAGTAACTGTATGTATCGCAAGCTGAGTACTTCAAAGTGTAAAACTTCTACATACAAATTTTTGATGAGGGAGGCGCGGGAGGGCTACCGGGCTGACTCAGCCGGTTACTTAAATAATTTAAAAGTATATATTTTTAGATTATTTAAAATTATAATAGTATTTATATTATTAGATATTAAGATTATCTTTTAAAATTTATATATAATATATTTATTAATTAATAAATAAAAACTTAAATCTATAAGATATTTTTTTTATTAATATTATTATATAACTCTTATTAGATATAATAAAGTAAATCTATATTAGATAATTTATTAATGCTTCTAAAATATAGATATATAATAGTATTATTATAGAATTTAATAATATATTTAATAATAGAATAAAAAAAAATATTAAAATTAAAATATAAAAAAAAAAATATATTATTAAAATTAAACTCTAAAAGGAATTTTAATATAGTATATACGATATCGACGTCTTAGTATAAGTAGCGTTAAGGCCTATAACGCATTAGATTTAATAAAGAGCTATTATATCTATAAAAGATCTAAGACTTATAAAAAGAATAAATAAGATCTTCTTAAATTCTTTTTTATTTTCGAATGATATTAATAAGATATTTCTATTAATTTTATTATATTATTATCTATTTATCTTAGATATAGACGCTTTTATTAATATATTATAATAATTATAAATAGACTAAGTAAGAAGAAGAAATTCGTTCTTTTAAACTCTTTAGAAGTAAAGATAATAATTTAGATCTTTATCGAATTTATATAGTAAGAGAAAGAATATTTATTTACTATTATCTCGAATCGAGGTATTTAATTTATAATATATTTTTAAAGAAGATTATATAAAAGGATTAAGATTAAATCTAAGCTCTTTATTATATTTTATCTCGAAATTAATAAATAAATAGAGAACGCTAACGCTATCTTAAAGTAATATTATCGATAACTTAATACTCGCTTACGCTAGTACTTATTCGATCTACTTATTAATATATAAAGGCCTTTTCTATATATAGAATTCTTCTTTCTTAGATATTATTAAGAATATTATATCTAGTAATAAGTCTTATTATAGTAGTAACTATATATCTAAATATTATTAATATTAATTAATATATTTTAATACTAGTATATAGATTAGCTAGATTATACTCTTAAAGAAAGTTTATCTTAATATTATCGCGATAGTTTTATACGATTTTATAATTACTTAACTAATTTCGCTTACTTAATAATACGATCGAATAGAATTATAATTTCTATCTTCTACTTTCTACTTTTTATCTTCTACTTACTCTATAACTTCTATTTAATAAAGAAAATATTTAGAAAACGTAAAATATTACTAGACTTTATATTAGTTTAATATATAATATATATTAAAATAAACTTTAAATAATAGAAGAAGAAGATTAATTCTTTAGAGATATCGTTTATAAATATTATAATTAAGCGTAATCTAGAGAAAATACTAAATAAGAGAGTTAAATTATTAGATATTTAAGATAGACTCGAATAATTCGTTTATTAGAGAATATAAGAGTATAATTAGAATAAATGAAAGTCTCTCTCCGACATCTTTACTGAGGAATTTAAACTATTCGTCAAGAGAGGATTTTAAAAAGCTTATCAAAGAGAATATCTATAGCTTACGAGACTATCTACGGACCAACGGAGTCTATATTCAAAAAGGGATTTCCATAGCCCAAGCACTGGCAAATATAATTCAGGAAGATATCCATAGCCACCGGACGACGAAGAACGTCCTCCACCCAAAGCAGTCCCAATCTTACCCTCCTCAGCAACAGCCAGTTCAGCCACAGCAGCCCTACCAACCAATTGTCGAGGATATCACTTCAGTCCACCCTCCCCCCATCCCAAGCGACGGCCCTCCACATCATCCTCAGAAACAGCCAATACAGCCAATTCAGCAACAACATTATCCTCCTCAGCAACAGTCAATTCAGCCACAGCAGCCTTATCAGCCTTATCGACCAAAGAATACTATTCATCTCCCTCCGCAGCCGCCTTATCAACCAAAGAATCCTACTCCAATTCTCTCCTCAACCCCAAATTATAGCCCAGATTACCGTCCCACACCTACTACCCTCACCCTACCAAGTCATTCAAGATAGCAGCCCTGTCAACACGAGCCAAACTCTCTGCGGTGTTCACGTCCGCGCACTATATCAACTCTCAGAGAGCCTACTTTCCCGCTCAGCACCGCTCGAACTAAGCATACTCATTTTCTCGCCTCTTAGCTCGCCTCTCCGCTCAGCTACATTCATAATATAGAGAAGCGGAAGGCTATAGGCCAAGGATAGGTATATAGACTATATAAACGGTGCATTCTTAATATAGCTATTTAGAAATTTAGCTATAAGAGAGAAATTCAATTAATACGATAATAAAGAATAAGATCTAGAAGAGTAAGTAGAAAGATAAGATATCTATAAGAGCGTAGTTTATTAACGATTAGCTAGCGAATATAGACTATAAAAGACGTAGTATTATTATAAAATTTAATAGTATATTTAATAGTAGAATTAATCTCTAAGAAATATTAAAACTTCGAGATATACGAAGTAAATCTATATTCGTTAAGCTTCTAAGTATATAAGATATATTATTAAAATTAGACTTTAAAAGAAATTCTAATATAATATATATAATATTAACGTTTAAACGTAAGTAGCGCTAAGGCTTATAATAGTATTAGATTTAATAATTATTTTTTCTTCTAGACTCTAATTCTTAAATACTTAAGTAAAAATAAAATACTTATTAAAAAATCTTTAAACTCTAATAAAAAAATAAGAAAAAAGAGTTAATCTATTACGATATTATTTTAATAAGATAATAGAATTAATTATTACGCGCCGTAGACGTATTATTAATATATTATATAATAATAAATAAAGGCCTATAAATTAAATTTATAAAGTTAGATTTTTCTAAGTTAAATCGAATTTTAGTCTTAGTTCTAAATTAAATTAAACTCTAATCGCTTATTATATATTTTTAATCTATATATAAATATATATATATAAAGAGAAACGCGTTAAGGCTTAATTAGAAAGATATATCGAGTATAAAAAATTAATTTATAATAATTATTTATAAAAAATAGAGAAAGACTATATTTTTATAATAAGAAGTATTAAAATATTAGAAAGAAATAAAGATAATATATTAATTAGTAATATAAATTCTATATTATCTTCTATTATAATAAAATCTTTTAGATAATAAAATAGCTATTAGAGTAAGATATTAAATAATTTTAATTTATCTAAATATATATTATTCGATATTTCTTCTATAGAGATTATAATAATATATTATATTAATATAGTAAAGATAATAAATTAAATTATAATAATATTCTTCGCTTATTAAGTAATAATTTAATATAGAATTATAGAGAGTATATAATATAAAATCGTATAAGAGTATATAACGTGGAATCTTAGAGAGCTAAGCCGTATTCTTAATACTAAGAGTCTTATTATTACTTAATTTCTTTATAGTATTCTCTATAGTATTCTCCGTAATATTCTTTATATTTATCTATTATAATTTCTTCTCTTACTTCTTAATATAGTAAGAATAATAAATTAAATTATAATAATATTCTTCGCTTACTAAGTAATAATTTAATATAAAATTATAGAGAGTATATAATATAGAATCTTAAAGAGTTAAGTCGTATTTTTAATAATAATAATCTTATTATCGCTTAGTTTCTTCGTAATATTCTTTATAGTATTCTTTATAATATTCTTTATATTTATCTATTATAATTTCTTCTTTTACTTCTTAATATAATAAGAAAGAATTAGTAGAATTAGTAGAATAGTAAAAGAAGAATAGTTATATAAATAGATAAAAGGATTATTATTCGATTTTAGACGCGTTTAATATTACTATAATATTTAAATATTAGTTTAACTTATCTATCGCTAACTTAGAAGAAGTATATAAAGAAGAATATATTTATTTAAGCTTTTTTTAAAGATTTTTTAATATATTTATAAGTAGTAATAGATAGTTATTAAGTTTATTTACGATCTTAATTACTAGTAATAATAAATTTATTAAAAGATAAATTAAAGACGTTAATAGAGGCTTTAAGAGGCGAGTAAAAGAGATATACGTATTTAAATTAGACGCGTTTAGTATAACTATAATATTTAAATATTAATTTAACTTACTTATCGCTAGCTTAAGAGAAGTATATAAAAGAGAATATATTTATTTAGACTCTTTTTAAAAATCTTTAAACGCGTTTATAAGTAGTAAATAGTTATTAAACTCGCTTACGATCTTAATTATTAGTAATAATAAATTTATTAAAGAATAACTTAAGAGTATTAATAAGGAATTTAAAAGATAAGTAAAAGAGATATATATTTTAGATACTTAGTAATATTTAGATGAGGAATTCGAATATCGAGAATATATTTATAATTAATAAATTAATAGAATTATAAAAGAAATATAGTTATATAAATAAATAAAAGAATTATTATTTAATCTCGAACGCGTCTAATATAACTATTATAATTATTATATTTAAATATTTATTTAATTTATTAATAGTAAACTAAACTTTATAATTTTTATAGCGTTAGAAAACGTAAAGCGAGCTTTATAATTTAAGAAATTATAAAATAACTATATATATTATTAACTAAGTACTTTAAAATATAAAACTTCTATATATAAATTTATAATAAGAGAATTTAAGAGAATTATTAGATT